AGAACCAAAGCAAGGCGGAGATCACAGCGGACCCTGGACGACCCGTGCACGGGGCAAGAACTCCCGTCTACCCCTGCCCCTTTTCTTCTTATGTTACACCCAGGCTTGGCCAGCCTCGGTTCGTGCGTGTGTGAGTATGAAAGTGGGTTAGGGCTGGGGTACTAACGCTTTCTTGCTTCCTTTAAGTGACGTGGGAGCAGTCCCAACACTCACCGCTGTTATTTTATTATTTTATTAATAAAGCTTTAAAACTTAGACACTTGGTGTGTTTCGTCATCTCCTCCCCAAACAATCCTGTGGCCTCAGCCTGATCACCTGACGCCTCAGGCAGATTGGTAACAGAAATCTGTCACATCAGCACCTCCAAAACCGCACTTTTGAAAAGTTGGTTGAGGGTTTGAACGACCTCCCTCATGAAACAGCGCTCATGCCTGACCCATCCCCATTTTTGTCCATCGACTCCGGCCCTTTTACCACATCTGGGCCACAATAACATCAGACCAATTGTGTTAGAAGTTATCAAGTCAGGATACACTATCCCCTTTACCTCCCGCCCACCTACGCTACCCCCTTCCTTGTCCCTCTTCAGGGACCCTTCTCACGAGCACCTACTACAACAAGAAGTCGATCATCTTTTACAACTAGATGCGGTGGAACAAGTACTGCTACAATTCAGAGCGAAGGGATTCTACTCCCATTACTTCCTGACCCAGAAGAAGAGCGGGGAATGGAGACCCATCCTGGGTCTGCAGAAGCTCAACAAGTTCATCAGATCCCAAAAGTTCAAGATGGTCGCACTGGGTGCAATACTCCCAGTGCTACAACGGGGTGACTGGTTTTCAGCCCTCGACCTCCAAGATGCTTATTTACATATCACCATTCATCCTGCTCACAGGAAATTCCTACGATTCATGGTAGGATGAGAACACTTCCAATACAGAGTACTACCATTCAGCCTATCCACAGCACCAAGAGTCTTCTCCAAAACTCTAGCGGTGGTAGTGGCACATCTATGCAAATAATGATTTTGGAATAATGATTTTCTCCTACCTGACAATTGCCTTATCAAAGGCCCAACTCTACAAGACACAATGGATGCAGTTCAGTCCACTATCACACTATTCGGGGAGCTGGGGCTACAAATAAATGAACGGAAATCAACCATAAACCCGGTCCAACAACTAGATTTTATCACGGCACACCTCAACGCCATAGAAGCCAAAGCATCATTACCCCTTACCAGATTCACAAACCTCACGAACCTCATCTCAGAGGTACAAGCCAGTCCTCAAGTTCAGGTTTGCACTGTCCTACAATTACTAGGACACATGGTGGCCACGACGTTCGTGGTATGACATGCAAGACTACATATGCGATGCCTACAAGGTTGGCTAAGCACGGTATACATACCAAGCAAATACAACCTACACAACCGGCTCACAGTTTCACCAAATGTTCTGAACTCATTACAATGGTGGGCAAGGCCACAAAATGTCTGTATGGGTATTCTTTTCCAACAGGAACCCCCGACAACAGTGATCACCACAGATGCCTCACTGATAGGTTGGTGTGCTCACATGTGTCAACACACGACACAGGGCAAATGGTCTCCAGGAGAGACTCAACTGCACATCAATTTGCTATAGCTATGAGCAGTCCGCAGACATTTCCTACCTCATATATGGAACAAATCCATTTGAATTATGACCGATGATATCGCCTGCATGTTCTACATCAACAGGCAAAGAGGAGTTCGCTCACATTCGCTCACATCATACGCACAGAAGCCATGAGACTTTGGAATTGGTGCATACAACACAATGTAAACATCTCAGCGTGTTACCTACCAGGATGTCAGAATGCGACAGCAGACACACTGAGCAGGTATTTCTCTCAGGATCATGAATGGAGAGGTATCTGAGTTCAGTCTTCAAACGGTGGAGCACTCCCACCATCGATCTGTCGACGAATCGCAAATGTGCGATGTTCTGCTCAAGAGCAGGACTGGGACTATGGTCATTAGGGGATGTCTTCCTCATCAAATGGGAGGCACAACTCATGTATGTGTTTCCACCGATACCAGTGATATCACGTGTGCTACACAAGATATGAGCAGACAGGGACAAAATTATCCTTATAGTCCCGAATGGCCTAGATAGGCATGGTATCCTTACTTGCTATGGATGGATATGCGCCACGCGAGCTCTCCCTCACCGGGCGGATCTGCTGTCTCAACACAATGGTCACACTCTTCACCCGAACCTGGAAATAGTCCACCTACAGGCATGGTTCCTGAATGGTTCCACCATGATGAAATAACCTGCTTGGAACAAGTTAAACACGTGTTATTAAACAGCAGGAAACTGACTACGAGAAATACCTACCTTCATAAACGGAAGAGGTTCTCCGCCTGGTGTCAAGGAAGACACTTGACGAGTGATTCAGCACCACTACCATTAATCTTAGAATACCTATTGGAGTTGAAAAGCACTGGCTTAACAATGAGCTTGATCAGAGTCCATCTTGTGGCCATTTCAGCATTCCATGGACAGCTCAATGGAACTTTGACGTTCGCACACCCAAATACAAAATGCTTCCTCGGGGGTCTCATAAATGTTTACCCAGACGTGTGACGACCTACACCAACATGGGACCACAACCTGGTATTGAAATGCTTCACCAGACCATCATTCAAACCATTAGCCACCTGCTCATTACTCCACTCATTGATGAAAGTAGCATTCCTGGTTGCCATTACCTCATCCAGAAGGGTGAGAAAGATGGGGCGGTCATAGCAGATCCTCCAGGCACAACATTCTTCAAGGACAAGGTCACGCTACGTCCACACCCTAAATTCTTACCGAAAGTAACCTCAGCATTTCACATGAACCAATCTATTCACCTACCGACATTCTACCCTAAGCCTCATGGTACTCCAACAGAAGCTGACCTACACACTCTAAACATTAGAAGGACGCTAGCATCTCTACTACCGAGCGCTTGAAAGGCAACGCTATATCCAATCAGAGATTATCCAAATGGATTTCCACATGCATTCAAACATGCTACCATATCCGGAATACAGAACAACCGGAGCACATTAGAGCACATTCTACTAGGTCCATTTCAACCTCAATAGCATTCCTTAATAATGTTCCAGTACTAGAGATCTGTAAGGCGACCATTTGGGCCTCCATCCACACATTCGCAAATCACTATGCAGTCACACAGGACTCCAGGACTAATGCCATAGTGGGCCTCACAGTACTTACTTCAATGACTCAATGAACCCAAAGTCCCCCCAACCCTCAGAAGAGCACTGCTCTACAGTCACCTAAAGTGAAGCACCCGCAGGGACACTATTTGAAGAAGAAGGAAAGCTTACTCACCTTGTGCAATAACGGGAGTTCTTCGAGATGTGTGTCCCTGTGGGTGCTCCACTACTCGTCCTCCTCCCTTCTACTTCGGAGTTCGCAGTGAGGATTCTGTGGTAGAGAAGGAACTGGAGGGCTTGGGTCATGCATGCGCTACACACGGCACCAACGACACCATGAGACGCCTACTGCACACGTGCGACCCGCGCAGACACTGCTACCATAAATCTCCGATCAACGGCACTGGGACCCACTGCCACCTAAAGTGGAGCACCCACAGGGGCACACATCTCAAAGAACTCCAGTTACTGCACAAGGTGAGTAACCTTTCTTTTTGTCTCTGCCACCAGATTGTTTTTGTTAGAGCAATGCAGAAATATGAGATTAATATTCAGGGATTACTGTCTTGAACTCATGTTACTCTTATGATTATCATTCACAAGTTATAATAAATGTCTGTCACTAAGGTTTAAATGGTTAAATTTATGGTCAAAATTGGTGTTTCCCTGTCTTTTTTCTTAATGCTGAAAGTCTGTGCTTTACTCACCAATTTAGTCTAAAGATAGGAAAGTCTAAATAATTGGTGATGTTACTTACTGGTTACCATACAGTATGCTGCAATACCCGAGAAGAAATTTCAGTCCAAACTCTGAATATCTTTTTTTTTTTTGTGGTATTGAATAAGACTTAAACATTTTCAAAAGACTTGTGGGGTTTTAGTTATGGAGCTGCTATTAATTTTAATGCAAATCTCACATTTAAATCCTACCCAGCTATTTGAATATGAAGGGGCACTGTTGTAACTATCTCAACAATTTATTTGTACATTTCAAGAGGATTTTGTATTCATTTTTGGGGATTTGTATTTGCACTCTTCACTTTGCTTTTTTCTTCTTCTTCCGGTATTGGACTCAGAACTTTAAACATATTTTTAATATATCTGCCTTGATATTAATGTATGGAAATTAAATTTATGATACTGGAATGGTGTGCAAATCAATGTACAATTTTCTTACATTTTCCATGATATATTTTCCTGTCTTTCAGGGCCAGAAGGGGCCCTTTTTGAACACTCTGTAGAGACACCACTTGTCAGAGCAGAGGCTTTTAAACCGCTTAGGTAAGAACTTCTGCATAAAAAATATATATGTTTTATATGTAAAATATAATTTTCTACAGATATTCACATTTTCTTTTAGGTAAACATAAATGTGAACTTTAGGGCATCCCAACAATAGTCACAGTAATTGCTGGTAATATTATTCCCTTTTCGTACTACTTTGTGACTTATTTATGTTATTTATGTTCTGTTATTTTGAGGATTCACTTAGAGATGAATTTCTGAGATTGATCATTGGTGTATATTCATGATCATGATCATTAAAGTAATGTACTGGTGTGTTTTAAAGCTTTTAATTTCCCTCATCCAAACTTATACTTGACTTTATTTGGAACACTTAAAGTAACATTTACACTTTTCTTTATTACGGTATAGTAGAAGTTGTTTATCTGCATTAAGTTAAAAAAATACTTCATCACCGTCCAATAGTTATATTGTCAAGTTTTTTTTGGCCAAATATTGTACAAGGGAAAAAATGGCCTCCACAGTGGCAGGGCCGGCTCCAGGGTTTTGGCCGCCCCAAGCAGAAAAAAAAAAAAAAAGCCGCGATCGCGATCATGATCTGCAGCAGCAATTCAGCGGAAGGTCCTTCGCTCTGAGCAGGAGTGAGGGACCGTCCGCCGAATTGCCGCTGAATAGCTGGACCTGCCACCCCTCTCCGGAGTGGCCGCCCCAAGCACCTGCTTGCCAAGCTGGTGCCTGGAGCCGGCCCTGCACAGTGGTATCTGGCACAAGCCAATAGAAAACCTCTGCAGAAATGCAGTCTTTGAAGGATGTATGTGGTGGTTCTCAGTCAAGCCAAACAACCCAAGGAAAGGATGACTGGCCACTTAAACATAAAAAAGTCCAGCTCTGTAGCATTAAGGAGTATTTTCTGGCGAGAAAATTACTTTAAATGAGTTCTGCACCTGTCATGTTCCAGATCTCCCTAATCCTGGGATATTGTTCTTTCACACACACTGCTGTGAATTTTAGAGTATTTTAGCCAAAGTAAATCCTATGTGTGGATTGTGGTGAGGAGATAAATTCATTCTACATTCAGCATGTGATAGTCTTATATTTAATTTTTAAATATCTATGTCAAAGATCAGGGTAAGAGGGAAAGAAAGAGAGAACTCCCCCCACCCACACTATCTCACTCACTCACTTCCAGTCTGCTGCTTCAGGAGGGACTCCCTCTTCTGTGGTTTCATTCCTGGGGCTCCTTCTTTACCCTGATCACTATTTTGGGTGTGGGGAAAAAAGAGAAAATCTTTAGGGTTCATGGGCCTTTCTTCATGTCACTGGCTGAACTTCCAAACTGGACAGTTAAATTTGAAGAAAAGCCTTCAAGATACTTGAAGTGTACTGAAAAGTTGACCTTCATAGATGAGCATATCCTTTGTATTATCTGTCTAGTGAGTTGGCCATGCCAACTAAAAGCACAGGTTCAGCTCTAGAATGTTACCTTGAGTTGTCAGTGCTCAAGTGGAATGACTAAAATCCCAACTAGTTGTCCATGTTCAGTATATTGAGTTAGTGGGATCAGAAACTGTTCCAAAGTCTACAAGTTCTGTTATTCATTGTTTTGGCATCAAGTTATTCCAAATTTAAATCTGTACCTCCTGTTCAGATTATCTTGGTAGGGACCAAGCTATAAAAATATCACTTAATCCCTCACCTCAAATATCATAATGCCTTTTTAGAGTCTAATTTATTAATATTCTGCTCTTCATCCTCCTAGAGGTTCTTCTGGTTAAATGATTATATTCTGCAGGCTGTCACACAGGCTAATGTGATATGAAGTGGTTAAGGGTGTAGCAAGTATTAGAGGTACTGAGACTTGAAGAAAAAACATCAGCCTCAAATGTATGCGGGGCCCTGTGTGTCAAGGGTGTTATAACTTCAAAGCACTTAATGTTCATACCCTTCAATTTATAGCATATGCATTGAGACCTCCTTCATTGTTCTCTGTGTATGTCATTAGGGTTTAGTGCATCAAAGTAAACAATGTTGACACAAATGGCTTTCTCAATTACACAGTCTCCTGGATTTGTAGCCCTAGTGTTGAATTTCAAAGGAGACTGATTTATTCGATAAGAAGTGACAAGTTTGTTAGACCATATCTTTTTGTTGATAAATAATGGAGACAGGGCAGTGCCATTGCTCCTGCCTTGGTGTCTGTCTTTTCATTATCCCGTTTGCTTTAGAAATGTGAAGCAATACAAATGGAGTCCTTTCCAGATTAAGTGGCTGCATTCATAAATCTCACTGAGAATGAAAAGGAGGTGTGGGTTCACTTTTTTTACCCCTCCCCACCCAGTAAGAAGGAAAAGTGGTAGAGAGAGTGTCTAGTTACAGTGCACATTACCTGTTTTTAATCCCACCATTCAAATTAGATAAAAGCTGATAAAAGCTGCAATAACACAGACCAAAAATCTTCTTCATTTAAGTAGTTCTAGTTCTATCCTTTCAAATGCCGAGAGAGAAATTCTACCTTGAGTAGGAAACAGATGCCCTAGTTCTCCTAAAGTTAGAGTCAGAATTCAAACATTCTCTCCATTGTGATGCCAATACTTTTTTCTTTTATAATTTATAGTACTTTGGTGTTCTACTTCTTTTATACTTTATATCCCTAAATAACATACAGCTCATGTTTAGAGCTTGTCATTGTAAGGCATATTGTTCTCTTCCTATGATATAAATTATTTTTAGTTTTCTAATACTAAAGTAATATTTAGACAATTTTTCACCTGTTACATTTAGATATACAAATCCTTTATAAACCTCAACATAATTTATCTGAGCTAGGCATTCACATTTTTGGAGTGTGAGATGCTTCAGTTTTTAGGATAACAGCTGTCTACTCTGTATGTTCTCCCTGCTGTTTATCAGGGTTTATAGTTTATCAGTGTGTCTGCTTATCCGACCTTCTGGGCAGCAATAAGATAGTTACCTAACATCTACGGTCAGAACTAATTTTCATTTGATATTGGCCTTTAAATAGATGTCTTAGAGCCACACAAGTAGACCTTCTGAGCGTAAATCCTATTGGTCAGAGTGAATCACTTTTAGTGCAATCAGTTCTGGGCATTCTGCCAGTACTTTGTCCAAGACTTTTATGTCCACACTCACAAGTGAGGTGAGACTATATGACCTACACAGCTCCACGCGTTTGTTAGATTTTAACATCACCATAATTATTAACTGTAATAATAATGTTCTCAGTATTCCAGAGAGTTGAACCTTTGTCAAAGTGTTATTATAAGTATATTGTACACATAAAATGTTATCAAGATATCTGAGAATTTCCTATAAATTTAACCATTGAGTTATTTTTCCAGATTATGAATTCTTAATGGCCTTCGGGATATTCTGAAGAGGTTTCAATATTTACCCAGACAAATTCTAGCCCTGTTTTTAACAAGAGATATTGTTTTGGACTTTCCTCTGAATCTTTAAATGATAACTTGAGGATGCTCCCTGTTTTGAGAAAATGTCTGTATCTAAGGCTAAAAGATACCAAGGGAATAGATGTATATTAGCCTAAGATGTAGTAATTGTACACTTTATAATAACTTGAGGATATGATTATGCTGAAGTATTTTATTATCCCTCACATTGTACTTAGTTACTGTAAATCTATCTGCTGTGATTGGCTGCTGCTATCAGAACTCAACAAATTTGTTCACAACAAATATGGCCCCCACCGCACTCTTCTTAGTATTTCCTCCCCAATGATGAAGGCTTAGCCCCTTTCCCGGCCAGTAAAATGACTTTGTTTTGTAATCCAATTATATGCTTGTATAAGTTATATGGGTAATAGGGTGGGGATAGGATCAGAAACTGAAGTAGTCATGTTTTTATGGACATATAGATAAGAATTCTGAGGGAAACACATAGAGAGCTGTATAGTGGCTAACCAGAGAGAGTGATTTGTAAAATCATTGTTTGATTATTAAAAATACTCACCAGCAACCGCACACCATACAACATAAACACTAACTCAGGAACCTATCCTTGCAACAAAGCCCGATGCAAACTCTGTCCACATATCTATTCAAGTGACACCATCATAGGACCTAATCACATCAGCCACGCCATCAGGGGCTTGTTCACCTGCACATCTACCAACATAATATATGCCATCATGTGCCAGCAATGCCCCTCTGCCATATACATTGGCCAAACCGGACAGTCTCTACACAAAAGAATAAATGGACACAAATCTGACATCAGGAATCATAACATTCAAAAACCAGTGGGAGAACACTTCAACCTCTCTAACCACTCAGTGACAGACTTGAAGGTGGCAATTTTGCAACAAAAAAACATCAAAAACAGACTCCAAAGAGAGACTGCTGAATTTGAATTAATATGCAAATTAGATACAATTAACTTAGGTTTGAACAGAGACTGGGAATGGTTGGGTCATTAAGCTAATTGAATCTATTTCCCCATGTTAAGTATCCTCACACTTCTATGGGTCATCTCGATTATCACTTCAAAAGTTTTTGTTTTTTTTTCTCCTGCTGATGATAGCTCATCTCAGTTGATTGGCCTCTTACAGTCGGTATGGCTACTTCCACCTTTTCATGTTCTCTGTATGTATAAATATCTTCTTGCTGTATGTTCCAGTCTATGCATCTGATGAAGTGGGCTGTAGCCCACAAAAGCTTATGCTCAAATAAATTTGTTAGTCTCTAAGCTGCCACAAGTACTCCTGTTCTTTTTGCGGATACAGACTAACACGGCTGCTACTCTGAAACCTGTTTGATTATTGCAGTAATACAAATGCCTACATGCTAACTGCCTAATAATGGCTCTCAACTAATCAAAGTACAGAGATCTGTATTTGCTGTCATAATGGAAATTAGAAACACCAGCCAATCACAGTGGAATGAATTACATAACTGAAAAGTAATTATACAATTGTGTCTCAGTAACTGTATAGCATTTCTGTTCTCTGATGGTTAGACAATTCCATTGCAGTATAATTTTTATAAACACTGGCATTAATT